ATATTTTTTTTATAGATCATGCTTATATATATATAAAAAAATATATATATATATATATATATATATATATATATATATATATATATATATATATTAAATATTAAAAATATTTTCAAGTCAGATAAAGTTTAGATCAGGACTGTTTTCCTGTTTGTTTCCGCATTTCTTCTTCTGTGTTTTCCAAGGCTGACTCATTCAGATGGAGCTGAACACCAGCTTCAATCTCAATCCCAGAGAATCGTAATCTGTCCTTAAGGCCGGTCCGAGTGTTGAGCAAACTGCTCCGTGTACACAAACACACACCCCATCTATCAAACACATTGCTGATACCATGAAGCAGCTGATTGGTTAAACATGAACCAACTGCAGGAGGTTAATCAGTGACCAGCGGCGTGCTTTAGCTGAGGGTCAGGGTCCAAAAACGGCAGCAGATTGGAAAGTATGGCTATAAAACCGGAAAAATTATTTAAAGTAACTCCAAAATTGAACAGGAAGTTGGTAAAAGTGGAAGTAAAACAACATTAATGCAACATTTTCTCAAGGAAAACCACTGAGAACAAAACGTAAATAAACAGACCACAGAAATATTGGACAGTTTGACAAACATAGAAACATAAAAGAAGGGAGACGAGTTTTGTTATTTAATCGATCAGATTTAGAATTTTCTGACATATTTAACGTCTTAATGCCTGAATTTACATACAATTAAACAAACAAAACATGTTTTAGCTGTCAACTGTATGTGATTATGAATTTGAACTTTGTACCTACATTAGTGTAAATCTATGATGCTAATTAGAGCTACCAGGAACTTAAGGAATGAAAGAGACTTTTTAATCACAGTATGTATATTTTAAGTTCAGGAAGAACTAAAATATAATAAGAGGAACAATTAAAATATATGCTATGCTCATTTTAAACAGTGCAAAAACACAACAAAATGTATTTCCTGCACAGTCCCATGAGATCCTGGCACCTTTTCTGTTACAAACTGAATTTCAAAATTTTTGAAGAATTGTTTGTTTTCATCCTGCATCGTTTCAAATACAGCTAAATACTTAAAGTTTCTCTTACTGTATAACAAATATCATATTAGGGTTTCTAGTTATGTAAATAACACATTTATTAATCTTTTTTGATACGCAGCCATACTGAATAAATTAGAATATAGCTTGTCAGAGAAAAAGTAACTTTTGAAAATAACCTTTAAGCAGGTGTTAAACATACATTTTTATTAATCCCACATTTCTTCTGTTTTCAAACCAGTTTTCTATTGGTTTGATGTAAAATTATACTTTCATTAAGTGCTACCAGAAAATCATCATGATTAATAGAAATAAAGTGTTTGTTTTAAGTCAGACACTTTGAAAAAAATGTGAATAATTAAAGTATGTCAGCGTACCTTTGGTTTCTTCCCAAACAGCCAGAGTTTATTCTTGCCTTTGCTTATCGTGTGTTTAGCTTCGGAGCGCGGCACCGGAGCCAGCTCTCTCTCGCCTTTCGGCGTGTTGCTGATGGTCCCGTCCGAACCCGTCCTGCTCAAGTTCTGACTGAAGTCCTCAAATGGAAAGTCTCCCGGTGGCTCGAAGCCGGATTTAAACGACTCCACCACGATAGTCGAGTCCTGGGAGGATGGAAAATGGAAACTGAGGGAATACTTTCAACGGGATTGGGTTTTTTGTTTTTTGAAGGTTGATGTTGTCGGTTTCGTACCCGCCGCTCGTCGACGGCTTTGGCAGCAGAAACCATCCCATCCAGACATTTGGTGATGATGGGAATGACTCTCCGCTCGGCCTCCGCGAAGCTTCGATACGTTTCACCGAGTTTTACCGTTCGCCGTTCGTCCATGCCTTGGAGATTCTGCATGCAGAGGAGGAAAAGATGAATGAATAAAACACTTCCAGGCACTTAGTGCCCTTTTATAGCACAACTTCAGGTGTTGTGAAAATGCTGTTTATATAAAATATGACTTAAAAGAAATTTTACTTCCTGATTTAACTCCTTGAAATTGGGCCTCTGTCTCTTTAAGAACTCCTGCTCTTTCTGAAGCTCCGCCAAACTTTGTAAATCAAGTTTAAACTTTTAATAAATCCACAAACTCATTTCAAAACATAAGTGAAGTAGAAGACATAAATAAATAAAACAAACCCAATTCTCTTCACCCACATAAATCTAATGCATCTTTGGAATCTAATTTATCTTTAATTTGAAAAACAAACACTCTTCATGTATATTGAGGCTGAACATGATCAACAAAAAGGTTTTAAAAAGTAATAAACACTTAAAAATACAAAGATAACAAAGGAATTATAAAGTGCGTAAGAATGATTGAATTGTTTTATTTACCTTAAAGATTTGTGGTATGGAGTTATTAAAATGTTTCCACTGCTCTCCGTTGAAGTTCTGCAGCTGAGCAGCATATTCGTTTTTACTCTCGTCCGCCATGTGGGTCCGCATGTAGAGCTGCGCTTTAGCCTGAACAGTTAATCATATAATTATGAAAAATCACACAAGTAATCCACTAAGGCCAACCTAAAGCCTAAAAATTCAGAAAGTGCCGTTCTAAATAATGCAAAATAAATAATAAAGCATTTCAGAGGACAAAGCGTAGAAATAGACTGAATAGATCTGCCCTTACAGATCAGGAACATTGTAATCGAAACCTGATCTAGATTTATTTCAATGCAGACATTGGACCAGTGCGTCTCCAGGTTTGACACTTAAACCTAAAAACTTTCCAGTCCAGTTGAATTGAAACAATGTTGCAAAGAAACGTGGGCTAAACTTTCCAAACTGTGATGTTAAATAATGTTTCTGAAGATGGAACGACACATTACACTTTAAGATAACGATTTAAGAAGAAATAATTTCCTTTTTCCTCTTTAGTTTTCTGCCAAACCACAGAAAGAAGTCAGCATGTACACTGCAAAAACACAAAATATTACCAAGTATTTTTGCTCTAAGTTCTAGTGCAAATATCTTACTACACCTTAGAAAAACAAAACAAACTTATAAGTAACTTTTCAGTAAAATATAGGAGCTTGTTTTAGTCAATAATTCTTTAATACTGATGAAAAAGTTCTAGTCCCGCTGGCATTTTAATTCCAGTGGCACTGTCCCGTTACCTAGCAACCCCAGCCAAGCACAGCCCGTTACCTAGCAACCCCAGCCAAGCACAGCCCGTTACCTAGCAACCAAGTTTCAGTTCCACTGGCAGATTATTTCATTTATAACATGGGAAAATGTCTTGTTGCAAGTGACATAGTCTGCCAAAAGAACAACTACTTTTTCTGCTATTTAAGGAGTTCTTTACTTAAAAAAAACTACCCATCTTTGGAATCTAATTTATCTTTAATTTAAAAAACAAACACTCTTCATGTACACTGAGGCTGAATATGAGCAACAAAAAAAGCTATTTTATCTTGCTGAAAAGTTATTTGTAGGCTAGTTTTGTCTTATTTCAAGAGTACCAAGAAACTAAGCCAAAATTTTCACTAGAAATCAGTGAAAACTTAGGAAAGATTTACCGTAGATAAATGATGTGACGGCTCTGCAGGTGGAAGCAGCTTACCTTCTCCACCTCTGACTTGGTGGCGTTGATGTCGTTATCTAGCCGGTCATAGGTACTCTGCGCTTTCTCTGCTTCTCTGCACTCCCTCTCAAACTTCTTTTTACTCTAAAAGGAAAAAAAGAGCATCCAGATTATTTCAAACACCAAAAATATTCATCGCAGCAGATTTGCATCTGTCTCGCTAAATGAGGCGAGGAAAAATATGTGACTGAATCACGCAGAGATAGTTTACTTCCTGATGCGCCATCTGGATCACATTAGCAGTAAAGCAAACAGCAAATAGTTGAGACATTACAGTCTGGTCACTAGGTGGTCACAGTTAAAGTCACACAGTCTACACACTGAAATGCTCCAAAACATCAAGTTTACACTGCAAAACACTAAATCTTACTAAGTATTGTTAGTAGGCCTGTCGTGATAAACGATAAATCAATTAATCGCACGATAAATTAAACCTATTGACTTAATTTTAATTATCGGCTTTATCGTCTCTTCCTGCCTTTTTTCCTTTCTGTTGATGACACTGAATGAAAACAGGCTCAGCTCCGGTCTCTCCACTGACCCTCCCTTCCTCATTTCCTTAGTCTAATGTCCAGCGCACACGACACGAGTTGTCTGCCGACTGTCGGCCCATTTTCTAAATCTGAGACACATTAACCGACAGAAATCCTAGATATAACGATTCTATCGGTTCATCGTGCCGTGTGGTTTTCAGCCACATGGGCCCAAAATAACGGCTACAAGTCCAGTTAACTAATTTTAAAACCAGGCATTAATCAGTGCTTTACTAGAATCTACCTGTGATGCATGTGGCTAGAATTAGCGTAAAGTCCTGACTGAATGAAAATCATTATAACCTATTTATGTCACGTTAACGAAGAACAGCTGAAAACTTACCGGATTTATCAACTGCGGTAGCAATTTGGCTCCAACTCCTCCCCTTGTCATTTCTATATTCTTTCTCGAAATGTTGAATAAACATTAATGTTGTTTCCACATATCATCTCCGATGTCCGCTGGACTTCGGGTTGCGCCGTGTCAGCTGTTTGGGATTCCCCTCCGTAATTTCCCCTCAGAAAGCAGTAGGAGAATCCGGCATTCTGATTGGCTACCTGTCACGGTCAGCGTTAAGCTCCCAGTCGGGGAAAACCTCTGATTTAGATCGGAGCGGCCACGACGATCTACCGTAACTCACCATACACTGCAGGATGATCGGTTACGAAATCACCAGTGACAATCTTAGATCGACCAACGATCTAAGATTGTCATAAAGAGAAAATAGGGGCAAAAAATCGTGTAGTGTGAACTGTTGCATTAGGGAGTCGGATGGCCCATCTTCTCTATTTAAATCTACTGATTACTGAATGCCAATACAGTATACAGACTTCATAATCTGCACTCTTTTGATTGAATGCAGTATTTATTTTCACTTTGGCTTTATGTTGTTTAGTTTTTATTCAAGTACGTTTTCTGTTAATGGAGACTGAGAATCCATTTTATTTTTGTTTTTGGTTGTTTTGTTTATTTAGTTTATCAGTTCCAGTGTTATGTGTTCTTTTCAAAATAAAGTGCATCTATCTATGGCAGGAAATACCATGCATTATTAGTCATTTCCATTAAATCAGTGCCAAAAGGTCTTGAAACAATATTATCGTTTATCGCAATAATTTTTTAGACAATTAATCGCTCAGCAAAATTTGTTATCGTGACAGGCCTAATGGTTAGTCTATTTTTTTTTTTTTTTAGAAAACTTGAAATAAGCCTAAACTAATAGGGACTTGTTTTAAGTTAATAGGTCCTCAATATTGATAAAAAATAAAAAATAAACTATTTCCGTTAGCAGATTATCTGACTTGAAGCAAGATGTTATTAGTGGAATAATCAGCTGCTAGGACTGATACTTTTAAATTGAAATTGAGGACTTATCAACTTAAAACAATCTCTTACATCTTATGTGTAAGTTAGTTTTGTCTTATCTCAAGTGTACTGAAAAACTAGGCTAAAGATACTTGGTAAGGTTTTGTGTTTTTGCAGTGCAGTAATACAGTTGAGAGCTTCAGATCTGCACTGATATCTTTGTCTTTTTCCTGGAAACTGTCCTTGCCAAGAAGGGAACAAAAATGATGCTACAATTTCGGAATATGATAAAAAATAATTAAAGCCACAGTTTGTACTATTTAGCACGGAGCCAGCTTCTTAAAACAGATTTAAATGGAAGAAATGTTTTTGTTTTCTGTCCAAAATGGGTAAAAAGATCAGTGGGGACTCAGTTTATCCTTCGGCTAACTGTTAGCATTTCTTTCATTCCTTCCTGGTGTCAGTTAGTGCCGCTGCTCGTCCCTGACAGAAAGTGTTTACCATAAACACGTTTTCTCTCCCAACCCCCAGACTTACATTGTCCATCTGTTTCCAGCAGTGATCCAAAAACTGCTGAGCCTTCCTTCCTTCCTGTAGGTGCTGCTCATTTCCACACAGAAACAAGAAACACATAAATAAGCAGACCACAGAAATATTGGACAACGTGACAAAGCAACATGAAAGTAGGCGGCGGGTTTTCTTATTTCAGCAGGTAACTGCCGTTTTCTAACATATTTAACATCTTCATGCCACAAAAATGTATGTTTTTGCTGTTAATCATATGTGAAACTACTTAGAGATTAGAAATTTGAATTTTGTACCTACATTAGTGTTAATTTAGGTATGATGCTAATTAGAGCTACTAGGAACTTAAGGAATGAAAGAGACTTTTTAATTACAGTGTGTCTATTTTAAGTCTAAGAAAACTTCGAAACAATTAAAATATTAATATAGAAAACATTAGGAAGCCAAATTATATGTTTTATTGCAAAATGTGGTAGTGTGGTAATATAATTATCATTATATCACTTGAAAATGGCCTCAAAATAACAATATTATAATTTTTAGTGATAACATCTGAGGTAATTTATCATCCAGGAAAATTTATTGTGACAGACCTACTAATAAAATGGATTATATGGTTTACTAAATCAATACTGATGTTCTTCTAATTCAGTTCAGTTTCATTCAGAAATATTTCAAAGTTTTATACTTTGCTTTATCATGAAACCTCAAGTCTAATATGCATATAAAACCAATGAAAACCAAACTTTAATATGAAATAAAACATGATAAATTATGGTTCAAAACAACTAGAGGCCACTATTCTCCCAAAACACATCAACATTTCCATTTTTCCAGCAGCAGATGGTAGAAACAAGACGACAGATGGATAACATCATATGCAACAGATTATTCCTCAGAAAACAAGCGACGCAGAGGAGAGGAGCGAAACATCTGCTTTCAGGACGGCGATGTTGGGAGCCGTGACAGCACTCACGTGTTTCCGCTCGGCCTTCAGCTCCTGGCTGTACCTCATCAGCTCGTTGTAAACCTTGTGGGACATTTCCTCCGCCACCACCTCCCTCTGGCCGGCGTAGTCGTTCAGCTCGCCCAGAATGGAGTAGAACGACAGACACGATGTGAACCTACATGAAATATTAATTTAAAGAGTTTAAAGATCACTGTGAATTTAGCTGGAAAGACTTTAATGCAGCAAAACAGATTCCAGCTGAGACAGAACTGCAAAAACACTGAATTTTATCAAGTATTTTGTCTAGTTTCTAATGAAAAGGTCTTGGTACGCTTTGAGACAAAACAACTAAAAGTAACTTCTCAGCAAGATAAATAAGCTAGTTTTAGGTAAATAATTCTTTAATATATGTATTTTAAAAAATAACTAATACTAGCTACTACAGTTTGTATCTTTATTCAAAAACTATTGATTTAAAACAAGTTTATTTATCTTACTGAGAAGCTACTTTAAGGTTATTTTGTCTTAATTCAAGTGTATTAAGATATTTGTATTGGAAACTAAACAAAAAATAACTGAAAAGCAACTTTTCAGCAGGAGAAATAAGCTTGTTTACAACAATTCTTGAATAAAATTTTTAAAAGTGCTAGATCCTCTGGCAGATTGTTGTTTGTTATCTTGCTGAAAAGTTACTATAACATATTTTTTGTCTTCATGGAAGTGTATTAAAATATTTGCACTAGAAACTAGACAAAAATACATACATGTTTTCAAAAATTACCCTGAATTTGGTTCAGTAACAACTTTTTCTTGGTAAAAAAAAAATAATAAAGCAACAAAACTGGTGGATTCCAGAAAGTTCATCTTAGAAAGCTGCAAAAACGCAAAATATTACTAAATATTTGAACTTAAATGTCACTTCACAGCAAGATAAACAAGCTTGTTTTTACAACAATAATTCTTGAATATATATTATTAAAAGAACTAGTTCCACTGGCAGATGTTTCCACTTATGAGACATTTTTACTGTTTTGAGTGAGAAAAATCTGCCAGTGGAACCAGCACTGTGTCTATTCAGGAATTGTTGCCTGAAAACAACCTAATTTATCCTGCTGAGAAGTTACTTTTGAGTTACTTTTTATCTTAATTCTTGTGTAATAAGATATTTACACTAGAAACTAGACAGAAACACTTAAAAGTAACTCCTCAGAAATATAAATAAGCTTGTTTTCAGTCAATAAATCTCGACGACAGATATAAAACAGTACCAGCTCCAATGGCAGAT